TACCGATGGCTGCGTGGCGCAGGGGTGCTACGTCGTTAGCGGTGCCCCCCAGGATAGCAGGCGACCTCTGCGGGTATGTAGCCAAGCTCCGGGCATACTGGGCTCTGCCTGGGTGAGACCACTTCACCTAGATACTCGTGGGATTCATGTGGATAAAAATAATTTAATGAATTCGGAAAAGACTTCTGGGGCCTCAACGAACCAGGAATAAGAAGAGAAACCGGTGTCTAGCAAGACCCGGACAAACGATGCTGCCAGTCGGGGGTATAATAAAAAGTAGGCGGCTCTCAGAGCCCAACCAGAGATATGGCGCGCAAGGGGGTCAGGCAGTGGAGGTGCAATGTGGGAGACGTAATGCCCCCGAGCACGATACGCCCAGCCCCAGCATGTCCCGGCCGGGAAAGAGACAAAGGAGCAATCCTGCGTCGTACTCTCAGACCGCGACAAAAATGGTTCGACTATCTCTTGTCCCATAGTGCTACCCGGAAAAGAAAATCTCTTCGGAGCAGATGAAGAGCCTGAAAGGACTAGTGAAGTCCCGGATCCTACTCCTACCAAAGGGAACCAAAGCCCCGACATTCGAGTGTATATGAGAAAGAGAAGGGGCGGTGATTTTTGGCTGCTCCGATGAAGAGACGAGGACGTGGCTCAAGAGCCTATTTCCCGGAAACAAAATAGGGGACACATCTTTCCTGGTGCTGGACGCTGCGGAGCTGTCAGAAGCTGGCAGAAAATGAGGACATGTCCACCCGGCAAGCAATTGATCTGATGGACAACCAGAATGCAGGACCTGTTGTAGAGGACTGGCTCGTCGTCAACAACAGTGAAAGCAAGGGAGCCACGAGCGCCCATTTTGATGCCCTTGTCAGCGAGAAAACTCTGCAGTGTTTAAAGGCCTACAATTTTAGTCCTTAGTACAGGACTCAAAGAGTCTCGATTAAAATGCTCGAGAATACCCGCACTGAGGGAGAAGGAGCGACCGAGGAGGGCAAGTGAGCCCTTGAATGGGTCACGGGTCGATCGAAATCGTTCAGATCAACTTGCATCACAGTAAAAGTGCCTCGGCCATCGTATGCCGGACGATTGCTGGGATGCAAGCAGCCATAGCTGTAATTCAAGAATTGTGGGTGGTAGGTGGGACTATCAGAGGCCTGGGAGGCTGTAGGAGATTATTCTAAGTGCACCTCAGGGACCACGAAATAAAGGCATGCATCCTGGTCAAGGGGATGGAAGCTACCTTCATACCACAGCTCAGCAAAGGGGACTTGGCCGTAGCCAAGCTGAAAGCCCAAATAAGAGAGAATGGAACGTTCGAATCCGTAGTAGGTGCAGCCTACCTACATTACGACTCCGATAAACCCCCGCCAACACCTGAGGTGGATGCGCTTATGGCTAGTGTGAAGGTCGAGGGAACAGAACTTCTACTTGGCGGTGACGCGAACTCACACCATCTGGGGTGCGGAAGCTCAAACACAAATGTCAGGGGAGCAGCCGTACACGACTTCATAATGGTCAACGATGAGTTACTCCTGAATAGGGGGAACGAGCCGACCTTCACGGACTCCAGAAGACAGGAGGTGCTGGATATCACCATATGCACAGCACGCATGGCAGATTTGATTAGAAACTGGAGGGTCTCCAAGGAATCTTCGGGCTCGGATCATGGTCAGATACGCCTTAAGCTGAGTGGCAGAGTGGATTCCATTCGGAAGAGAAATCCGTCAAAAACAGACTGGACGGGGTACAGAGAGGAGCTCTCACGAAGAATCCAAGACGAAATATGTGGTCGCATCTTTCGGAGAATCGATCAGAAGCTCTTTTGAAAAGAGTCCAACCCGCGCCAACAAAGGAACCAAACAGCTGAGCTGGTGGAACGCAGACCTAGCCAACTTGAGGGTCAGGTACGGAGAGCGTGGAACAGAGTGAAAAACTCTTGTGGTAACCTATGCAAGAGGAAGGCCAGGGAGGAACGAAAATTACTGCAGAAGCAATACAACAAAGCCCTGGCGAAAGCCAGGAGAGAAGGCTGGAAATGGTTCAGTAGCGGAATCAAGAACCTGTCCGAGGCCTCTAGGCTAATTAAAGTACTGGGAGGTCAGGGTGGCGCCAACCTAGGCTGTTTAATGAAGCCAGACGGCAGCTAGCCCAGAATCCCTGCCACTTCTTCTGGAACACTTTCCCGGCTTCACAAGCACGGAAAGCCTAAAACAGGCCACAAGGGAACAGTTTCCCTTGGGAACAGAAGCCCTCACAAACCACATGATTGGGCTCTAGCAGCCAAAATTGTATACCCACAAGAAGTAGAATGGGCGGTCAAAAACCTCTGAAAGGACCAGAACCGGAAGGTATTTACCCGGTGTTACTCCAAAGGGGACATCATCCTCGAGCCCCTCCCCAAATTTCCGAGAGCCAGCACAGCTCTGAGAACTGTACCACGAGTTTGGGGGGAATCAAAAATCATGTTTCTACCTAAACCCCGTCGAAACGGCAATATCAAGCCAAGAGACTTTCGACTCATCAGCCTAACCTTCTAAAAACTAACGTTCTAAAAACGCTAGAGAGACTCATGGAGAGATATATATAAAGCACACTGCTAATAGCCACACCTCTATCTTTCGCTCAGTATGCCGACAGGAAGGGAAGATGCACTGAGACCTGCCTGCACCACCTCCTGGAAAAGGTTGAGGAAGAGATTGGGGCAAAGGGCTATGCAATGGACATTTTCCTGGACATCGAAAGAACAGGGAACGAGGTCATAAAAACAACCCTGTCAAGAAGAGGCTTTCCAGAAACCATCATTAACTAGGTGCAAAGCAGGTTGCTGAGCAAATCATGAACCGCTGGCCATAATGGTATACACATAGGAGACAGTACTGATCTACGGGCTAAAAAGCCCCAGTCCATGGCCATAGGAACCCTGCATTGTGGATGCACTGGACAGGTTCGAAGTACCAGAGTACCTGCATAGAGTGGTGGAAGACTACTTCACCGACAGAACTCTTGTTTATGATACGCGTGAGGGTCCCAAGGAATATAGCGTGACGGGGCGTATTGCAGGGCTCGGTACTGAGCCCGCTGCTATGGAACGTAATGTACGATGGTCTACTGACGGCGGTCCTACCCCCAGAAGTGAGGCTGGGGGCGTTTGCGGACGACCTTGCAGTGGTGGTCGTCGGTAAACACCTTGACGACATTTGCCTGGCCTTTGAGAGGGCCCTGGAAACGATTCACCGCTGGTTGGAAACAGTTGGGCTGTCTTTATAGTAATTCTGTCTAGGCTGACGATATTATTAATCATTCTGGGTTAGAATTGACTAAGTATTTATTAACTAACTCAAGAAATACAAAAGATAACGTTCTCTTAATGTGGAATAATTATTACGAATATATGTATATGCTTAAGCACGCTAAAGCTGTGGCGTAACAACTATATCTAATAGGAAGGAAACTACACAAGCGTTTCACTCTTGTCGGGGAGTTACTTCCTGTTTCCGACGTTGGCGCTTGGGTGGTGGAGCCGTGGCAGAGCTCGGTGATACCGACTGCCTAGCCGCCACATCCACTCCTCGCCCAGTGACCTGACTAGGAGAGTTAGGGAATGATACTCTCTTTCTGGTCCGCTGATATGTTTTCAGAGGTGGATTCATTGTTGAAGACCGATGCTCTTCAGGTACGTGGATCATTTTTGGCGATCAATCATCGTGAGGCAGTAGCGAAGGTCGTTGACTAGTGGAAGCTCGATCAAGTTCAGGTGCACATGATCGAAGCGGTTGTCCGGTACTCCAATGTGAGTGGGAATGACTCGGTTGTGACGTTGGATTTTTGATTTCTTACATGCGAGGCACTCTCGACTCCACCGAAGGGCATCCTTTTTGATCCCTGGCCAGATGAATTTCTCTTTGAACTGTCTGGACGTCACACGACCGCTTGGATGTGATAGGCCGTGAATTACATCAAAGGCACGGTTCCGTAGGCTTCCAGGAATAAATGGGTGGACGGACCCTGTGGAGATGTCGCAGAAGAGTTGGCTCCCATCAATTGTCAGACGGTCTAGTTTGAGGTTGTCGTGCTGGAGTAACCCATTCAGCTCATCGTCACTCTCTGTGTTCTCTAGCTGCTCGAAAGCTGCACCGATGGCAAAATCAGAGGCATCAGTGACTAGTGCTATTGGTGCTGTTGGAGCCAGGAAGGCAGCTTGAACAGCAGCGATAATGCTCTGTTTGCATTTGTCCAAGGCTTCGTCAAGAGTAGGAGTTCAGATAATGTTCGTCTTGTCACGTTTCTTTGCACCCTTCAGGAGGTCATTGAGTGGGTTGACCTACATTTGTGCTATTTGAGGGGTGCAGCGGCGATAATAATTGATCATCCCTAGGAAACGTCTGAGATTAGAGATGGTCTGAGGTTTCGGGAAGTCCTAGATGGCTTGCACTCTGTCAGGGGGTGGTGTGAACCCGTGTTCACTCGATAGCCCAAGAAGGTGACTTCTTTCTGCCCAAGAGAACACTTGCTGGAGTTGATGGATAGTTGGTTGTGTTGGAGAATCTTGAAGATTGCTTCAACATGCTGCTGGTGCTCTTGTGCGTCTCTGGAGTACACGATGATGTCGTCGATGAAGCACACTGCACAATCTACACCCCTGAGGAGGTTATCCATGTGACGTTGGAACTTTTGCGTGTCATTGAGCAGACCAGGTGGCATGCCACGAAATTCAAACAAAGCAAAGGCTGTTGCTACTGCAGTCTTCGGAATATCCTCTTTGGCGACAGGCATCTGGTGGTATGCTCTGACCAGATCAATTGTTGACAAGACTCTGCATCCATAGTAGTGTTGTAAGAGGTCCTCAATGTAGAGTATTGGGCAACGATCTGGGATTGTCTGCTTGTTGAGTCTCCTGTAGTCACGAGTTGACCGCCAGCCACTGGTTTTCTTGCGTACCATGTGCAAGGGGCTTGCCTATTGACTTGAGGAGAGCTGGATGATGTTATACTGGAGTAGAAGGTCGAGCTCATCCTTAGCTACCTGAAGCTTCTTACCAGTGAGTCGCCTTACACGTTCCACGACAGGTGGGCCTGTGGTGACAATATGATGCGAGACAGGATTATCTGTGTCGGTGGTTGAGATGGCTACTGGCATGCTGATGCTGATGTACCCACGGAGGAGTTGTTGATAGGCTGGAGGCAGGGCGGAATCAGCGGAGGCAATTGTTGAGATGCCATAAACTGAGGTCTGAGCTAGCTGACCTGGAGCAGTGAGCTGAGTTTCCCTGTCGATGAGACTATGTCCCTTGAGATCAATTATCAAGCCGTAGTGGGTTAGAAAGTTAGCTCCGATGATGGCACTTTTGACGTCAGCAACCACAAATGCCCATTTGAGTGGACGGCGAATGCCGATGTTGAGTGTGAGCAATTGCTGGCCGTAAGTGTTGATGAAGGTATTGTTTGCCGCGTACAGCTTGAGGTCTGAGAGTCGGTTGCAGGATCGCGAGAATGCACGTGGAATTATGGCGATGACCGACCCTGAGTCAACGAGAAGACTCATGTGATTTTGGCTGTCATGTAGAAATAGGCGGCATTCGTTGATGGTGGTGTTATTGTTCCTGTCGGCAACCGCTTGTAGGGACGACAGCAGCTCTAGATTCCCTGATGGAGCTAGTGGAAGGCTCCAGATCGGGCACATGGGAGGGTGCATCGTCGAGCTTGGTCTCCAAAGCGTTCATGGTAATAGTAGAGAGCCCCCTTGCTTGAGGGTGCAGGGGTCGCTGATCGAGAGCGAGAATGTCCTCGCGATCTCCTCGATCCAGGCTGTCCTCCCCGAGAGCTCGATTGTTGGAGAGGGTGGGACAGTGTCTGCACTGCCTGTTCCAGAGTTCCCCCCCGTTAACGGGGGGTTGGGAGATATAAAAAAAAAACAATTTGGTATTGCTTCGACCTTCGATGGTGAATTATGGTATAATGTTTTTAATACTTTGGTATGCTTTGTTTAAACAAAATACATTTTTATTACAATAACCCCCGTCAGCGGGGGTTGAAATTTTATTCGACAATTGACCTCTCATCTGACGTCAAATTGAATGGTAAATAATGGTAAAATGAAGACAAACTAAATATTCATATATTCTAATAATAAACAACTAATATTTGTTTACACATCCAACAACCCACAGCGGAGTCTGTGCGCATGCGTTGCCTTGGCCGTCAATTTGAACTTCGTCGGAATGGACATAGAAAATAGTCGTGGTGAGAACATTATCATAGAAACATATTATGGAAATGGTCGATGGCTTGCGTTACATGCCGAAAGCTCACGGTTTTAGTCTCAATAATTTTTCTCATTACTTTTTCGTCGGCACAGACAGTAAACATCAGGAAATACATATGCTAGAGAAATTGTTAGAAATAAGATTTCAAACTTAATTCTGACCATTTTAATCGATTGGTTGAAATTTCAATTTTTTGTGTCAATTTTTAATGGAAAATTCAACAGTGAATCCTAGAGAAAATCCTACAGGATATTCTATATGATTTTTTCCAAAGAGAAACAACTGCAAAGATGTAATTTTTCTCTACTATAAATATATTTTTTAGAGAAAATCTCTCGTAATTTTCTTTCAATTCATTTGTCATTTTTCCTCCGGCCGTGAAGAATGAACTCGAACAAAGGGGAATTATTCACTAGAGAATAGTTTTACAGATAGCTTAGTGTAAAGGAGAATGAACTTTATTAATTCTTTAGATAAACAGAACATATACAAGCAGTTCACAAACGTTCTTACACTTCTAAATACAAAGATTATAGAAAAATAATTATCTTTTCCCAGGCGGCGACAGTAGCCACGCGGGCGGTGTGTGACTCCGGCGATCACCCAAGCTAACGATCAGTTGGGTTAGTACTTGGATGGGTGCCCGCTTAGTCACACCCATCGGCGTGTAGACTGCCGCCGTCAGGCACGGGTGTGGAGAGCTGGTGTGTTCACCGAGTCAGTGTGACTGATGAACACAGCAGAATCCCCGCAGTACCGGCCGGCTGCGCTACTGAGGTTTTACATGGTTTCCCTCAGTACACGCCAGATGGGCGCAGTACAGAAAGTCGGCCCATGCTACCGGAAAAATAATGAGAGGATAGTAGGAGAGGCTAATGAGAGGATAGTAGGAGAGGCTAATGAGAAGATAGTAGGAGATGCTAAAGGCTAAGACGAAGGGGCGCCTATCAAACCATGGTAACAATGGTAATAGGAAAAGGAAAAATGTAAAAATAAAAAAAATAAAAATAAAAATGATCTTTTCCTCACAATCACAATCGATCCATCAACGTGAGAGGGTTTAGATATAGAGAAGAAAATTGAAGTAAAAATATAAGTTTTTTCTCGTTTTAATCCAAATATGAAATTGCTTAATGAACTACTGTGCAATACTGAAAAATACTGCACACATTTGCTTCATAATACTGATTGGAATCATAGATTTTGAGATGTGAATTACGGCAGAGATATATATAGGGCTGCCTGAGGAGTAATCACTGTTTCTGGCGGATATTCACGTCCAGGATGAAATAGTTTTCCGAAAAAAATCCAAGCACCATCTATTCTACGAAGGAATACTGCAGATTCACCTTCCCAGTCTACAACAATACAGTTCAACCTATAAGGGACTTTCAGTGATAGCTCGTCTTGAATCTAATCTAATCGACATCTCTTCCGCACATAATTTGAGTTACTACACTGCAATTCGAGAAAAATCATCGGATTGTACTCTATGTCGACTGTGCAAGATTTCGAACATTTCAAACAATTTACTAGGGACAATCTTGTGTATAAATCGAAGTCTCTTTCCAAACCCGTGAAATTACTGCGGAACAGCTTGAAATTATTAGCTTTAACTACAGAAACACTCTCAGATAAATCGTCGCAATTACTGCATTGATATTGTTTCAGTAAACTAGGAGTTTTCCTCACAGCAGTTTCACAGGTTTCAGTCATAGTCCCATTAACGTTGATTTGATGTCCTTTAGATGGATAACGTGGTCGAAGTCGATGTCGGTATAGAACTTTAAGGATTAATATTCTTTGTAAGCTAAAATCGGCTCCATCTGCATTATTTCTGTAAGATGCGACTAGTCTAAGTGTTTCATTTTGAGATGTTTCAATAAATTCTCGAATCCATTCATGTTCATCAGCTGTCGCAGCGATCATTTGGAGAATGCAATTAAAAATTGAATGATTTTGAATATGATACGAGGTCCACCCTTGCTTCACACAGTTTGAAATTTGATCAATTTCATAAAAACTTAGCGTTGTAATAGGTGGATCGATTCTGTTAGTGGACTGAATCGATGGATCGGCACTGGCTACATGATTTTCTGACAAATCTGTGGGTAAAGTTTTGAAAAGTGGAACAGTGTCATGACAACAATTTGGATTGTTCAATGGAGCCAGTAGGTCTACAAAAGAAGCATCTGTCGAGGCTGGGATAATCTCTGATCTATTTGCTATGCCTTCTATATGTTGTTCAGGATCGTTTGTAGTTTCGGAGATTAGTTGGCCGATTTCGACGAGGTAAGAACCATCCTTCCCCTCAAAGACTGCAGAAGCTGAGAAACTTTCAAGTGTATAGACAGCTAAATGTTGGTGTATCTGACGGCCTGAGCTGCCTGGCTGCATTTTAACATTCAAGTCGTTATAAATCTGCCACCTTCCATCAGCTTTTCGACAGTGAGCTGTATAATGGCTCATCTATTCGTCAGCTACGTTCATAAACTCAACAATCCCAGATAATCTGAAAATGTATCATATTACATATTATCATTCTAGTCGATGTGTATATATATATAAAAACTTCTGGAATAAAAAAAAACTTGGGGTCCTATTCAATTCTCATTGGGAACCTTTCAATTTTTTTCTTATTCCATTGAATGTCATGGCCATTTTCTATAAATGAAACTATTTGATGCCAAAAAAATCCCTTGGAATCTAAACGATAATTTTAATTTTCTTAACAAATTATTTAACCAATACGATACTTTGAATGAAAATTCCTCAGAAAATTAAATTCCAATCTATAGAAGTCGAGTAGATATTCAACAAAATCGTAGATTTACAAGCTGTTCCTATTGACTGAGACCGAACTAGACTTTAACATACAAAATCAAATTGCGAAAACATTAAGTGATGGAATGATTTCTGTTGAATGGGCTTGGTCAACTGCCTGTTTTAGTAGCCCAATACAATGATTGCAGAAAGGAAAACTATATAATGTTCCAAATAATCTCTATAAAATACTTTTTCATTGAACATATCTACCTAATGATACCTACATAATTTGTGATATTCTCCAGGGAAACTGACTAAAAACTAACGTAAAGTCGACCCAAACAGGATATAATTTCTCATAAAAATTGCTACATTAATCGCTGAAATTTTTGAATGTGACTATTGAACAAATTTACCGATAGGATTTCTGAAGTTCTAAACGTGTAGGAATGCTTTGAATTCGGCACTTTCTCGTTCCATCACCTGGGGCATTACTGCTATTCAATTCGACAATGATTTGAAAATTTGGTTTACGAGAAACCTGGCAATTTTCAGGTCTGCAAATTATACATTCAGCACCTTGAGTGTTTTTAATGAAGAAATAATTCCAGAGATAATCTTTCAAAGTGGTAGATCTTTGTTCCAGGCTTTTGGTGTTGTGAGGTATGAAAACTGTGGATTGATAGAAAGTTATCTCAGCACCATATTTGTCACAGTGATGTTCTATCAATACGCTAGGGAATTCAGCAAGTGAAAGTGCCCATGTTTCCGAGCAATTGTTGTGGGTGTTAATTTCATAAGACACAACTCTCAGTTCTGTTGATACTGCAATCTTGTCTACATGTCTTGTGTACATGTTTCAAAGTATTAAAATAACCTTCAGTAAAACTTGTCGATGCATGATCCGCATAAAAAAGCAATCCAATCGGTGTGAAAAGTGGGAATTCATAGCAAAGTTTTATGCGATCTACTATGAATTCAGGCGCATAGAATGTATTAGGCTCTTCTGGTAATGCAGGGCCTCCTGTGATCCTGGATTCCTTCACTAACTTGTCGATCCATTCACGAATATGACTGTGAGTTTTACTGTTTGACTAATCACCAAAAAAATCTTCATTCGATCGTCCATCAACACTTTCTCCCACACCGTCTTGCTTAAAAAAATCTTCATCACGGCGAGCAATCTTTTCCTCCAGCGCTCGCCTGGCATCCAGTACTGTCCCCTTCTCAGGGACAACTGTAATCTCCTCATCTTGATATTCATGCAATCCTATGGTACAAGTCAAACGAAAAATCTCTTCAAATGCAGCTAGAGTCTGACAGTCTATCAGTAATTCGAGACACAATTTATATATCCTCCGCACCATCTGAAGTGGTAATTGGGTCAATGATTTTTTATGCATCATCATATTAACGAGGGGAGCCACATCAAGTCTAATAAATGTACTAATTTGGGGTCGATAGACATATTCCACGTGATTGGATGCCAACATGAAGCATGTGTCTACATACACCGCGATGGATTGATCGTTGAGAGCGCTCCAACTACCGTTCAATAGAGCTCGTGAGTCATCACAGATCATGATGTTGTGATAGTTTTGGCTGTTTAGGGAATGTTCGCGGTGGATTGATCCACATCCTAAAAAATCTTTCAAAAGTTTCA